GAAATCACATCTGGTTCATGATGCAGATGTTATTCTCAATCAGATAGATAGATAGATAAATACTTTATTGATCCCCGTAGGAGAAATTCAGGTGTCCAGTAGCAGCAAAAATAAAATTGATCATTCTAAAAAGCTAATAATAGTATTAATCAGCCACAGGCCTTCAGGTCACAGCAGCAGAGGTTGAGGGGTCTCTGGGTGGAGCAGGACGGGTCACTGTAGCAGAGGTGGAGTAGCCGATTGGTTTGGACATGCTTCATTAGCAGTTTTCAAAAAGTTAGCATTCCTCTGATGGATTTTTGCCTGATGCACTTATTTCGAACCATGAATCCTCTCTGCTCTGGTCTGGACCAAAAACTAAAAACAAGAACACAATTATATAGCACTAAACCACAACTGTTTCAGTTCACCGTCCAGGCACAGTACGTCAGTCACATGACCCACATGTCAGTCACATGAGCCACACCTCAGTCACATGAGCCACACCTCAGTCACATGACCCACACGTCAGTCACATGACCCGCACCTCAGTCACATGACCAGCATGTTAGTCACATGAGCCACATGTTAGTCACATGACTCACACGTCAGTCACATCACATGACTCACACGTCAGTCACATCACATGAGCCACACATCTGTCACATGACCCACACGTCAGTCACATGACCCACATGTTAGTCACATGACCCACACGTCAGTCACATGAGCCACATGTTAGTCACATGAGCCACACGTCAGTCACATGACTCACACGTCAGTCACATCACATGAGCCACACGTCTGTCACATGACTCACACGTCAGTCACATCACATGAGCCACACGTCTGTCACATGACCCACACGTCAGTCACATGACCCACATGTTAGTCACATGACCCACACGTCAGTCACATGAGCCACATGTTAGTCACATGAGCCACACGTCAGTCACATCACATGACCCACACGTCAGTCACATGAGCCACACGTCAGTCACATGACCTACACGTCAGTCACATGACCCACACGTCAGTCACATGAGCCACACGTCAGTCACATGAGCCACACGTCAGTCACATGAGCCACACGTCAGTCACATGAGCCACACGTCAGTCACATGAGCCACACGTCAGTCACATGAGCCACACGTCAGTCACATGAGCCACACCTCAGTCACATGAGCCACACCTCAGTCACATGAGCCACACGTCAGTCACATGAGCCACACCTCAGTCACATGAGCCACACGTCAGTCACATGAGCCACACGTCAGTCACATGAGCCACACCTCAGTCACATGAGCCACACGTCAGTCACATGAGCCACACGTCAGTCACATGACCCGCACGTCAGTCACATGAGCCACACGTCAGTCACATGAGCCACACGTCAGTCACATGAGCCACACGTCAGTCACATGAGCCACACCTCAGTCACATGAGCCACACGTCAGTCACATGAGCCACACGTCAGTCACATGAGCCACACGTCAGTCACATGAGCCACACCTCAGTCACATGAGCCACACGTCAGTCACATGAGCCACACGTCAGTCACATGACCCGCACGTCAGTCACATGACCCACACACATTCTGACACAGAGACCATGAGGACAAACAGGGCAATTTTTTGTTGTTGTTGTTTACATTACAAAGGTATTTTTCCATCAGGATTACTTTCAGTCAACATTAATTCGAATATTATTTTCTGGTAGATTTGTTTTGTTTTTTTTCAAACAAAATGAGTTTGTTTGGATAGAACCAAAATTGAATCGAAGTGGAGGCCAGTATTTAACTTGTTTCAACTATTTCTAATGTGTTGGGTTCAAATGTTACATTATATGATTCTTTTGAAAATGTGCCTTAAAATGAGAAATAGTGTCATAGTAGCCAAACTAACTGATTATTACTAATACGGCAAGTTCATGGAAGTCATTTCAGGGACCACTAAACCTTGTATTACCATCGACTCCAGAAGGAGTGGACTAAGTGGTGACATCACCCATCGCATTTGCCTTGAATGGCCTCCATGAGCAGATATCTGGACAAAATTCAGGGATAGCAATGACCTAGCAACCAAAGAGCCAATCACAAGCAGCGCTGCTCCGTTCTCCCATGTGCCTCTCCCAAGCCAAAGCCGGATTCAGGGATAAAAGGCTGTTAATGGGCAAAGTTAACCCATTGGCTTTCCAGAATATAGCCTTGTCCATTACCTAACCCGCTGACAGCAGGTCATGTCCAAACAGGATTGCATTTCTCTCTACACTAACTCTATGTCTGTTATGCACCAGAAAGAAGGAATCTCCAAAATAATTTTATATCGTTTTCTGGCAGACCAGCATTCAGAAGTGGCTAATGCAGTATATTTATAGTATATCATAAGTGCTTTGGAAATCGGTGCGGCTGATTGTATCACATCCTTCACATCCTACACATGTTTTAAACTTTCAAATGGCAGGTCCGGGTCGCATTTCTCAGTCACGGAAATAGCAGCGTCCCTGAAATATACGTCCCCACCTCTTCTGAGTCCAGAGCTTTATGCCCTTGTCTCACTTCCAACGTTTTAATTGTGTTCCATTAAAGTCGTATCCCTATGATCTAAGACAATTCCCTCTGTTCTAATTCCACTCTATCTCCCCATTGTTTCTTCACACATAAGCCAGCGATGTTAATTTGACAGACTTTTATGCCGAAAATCATTCCTCTCCCCGTCCACACCTCTCCTCTCACATTCTCATTATTATCCCTGTCCTCCTTGTGCCAATCTTTGTAGAAATAAGTACGTCTCAAGTGCAGAGCGAGCTATCGATTCAACTTTTCACTGGGAAAGGAGTAGAAAAACCACCATTATTAGAAGAGCGAGTGGGTGGGAAAGCGCGGTGAGTGATTTGGTTTGCGTGGCGTCGGTGGCAGTGACGGAGTGTTGCAGTTTAGGGTAGTTACGTGCGTACACTAAACGGAGCCTCCTCATTAGTTGTGCTTTGGAAGATGAATGGGTCGGCGGGACGGTCCCACACGCACACACACACACACACACACACAAACCTTAAGGGGGACCAGGCGCACGACTTTATCTGAGGCTGAATTCATTTGGTCGATCTATATGTAGCTGGCAGCAAACCACATCTGAAGTATCTATGGCAGGGGTGCTCACACTTTTTCAGCGTGCGAGCTACTTATAAAAGGATCAAGTCAAAATGATCTACCTACTACAAAAATGCAAATCATATATTTATTTCAAAAAATATTCTTTATACCTACAATGTATGTTTATGTACATGCAAAACCGCATGAGCCAATATAGCACAACACAACACAATTACCTATGTACATTTTTTGTCATTACCCGAGTTTACTCTTATGACTGAATTGAATCGGCCAGGGATGCATTGTCCGGAAAATTGGTGGTAACTCGCTGACAAGTTTGTCGTGGTTTAGCTTTCCTGCACTGAGCGCGGTTGTTTGCGCATGTGCAGTCACCTAAGTGTCAGTAAAACATTACTGAGTAAAACACAGATGTCATTTGACTGTGGTGCCATGTCCATGTGCCATGCCTGGTTTATTTAAATCCAAATATTTCCCCTCCTCAGTTTATAAAATAATTTGCATCCACACATCTGCGTTATCAGTCACGTTCGTAACATTCCAAACATGTGCGTCTCTTACGTCCTGTCCTGCGTTGGGGAAAAACACAGAAGTGGGCGGAGCTTTGATGCAGACGCCGGTAACGGCACTTTTACAGTCATAGAAGACACTCAGAGTAAAGACGTATGTTTACAAGCACTGACCCCGTCCTCAGCCCTGGTTTAGTCCTGGTTTAGTCCTGGTTTAGCCCTGGTTTAGTCCTGGTTTAGTCCTGGTTAAGTCCTGGTTTGGTTGTTTTCGAGCGTGAGTCCCCGCGATCACTTTGCTGCTCTCTGATGTGGAGCGAGGATGTTCGCTGCTGCGAGCATCTCACAGTGAACAGTTTTTAAGGTCGTATGATCCATGCTTCAGTGATCAGAGGAATTTAGGGGGGTACTGTGGCGTGCGAGAACGCAAAACTCCGGTTATCTCTGTCTACACACAAATGCATTAACGGAGTTTTCAAAAATCTCCACTTTGCCCGGAGTTTTTTGTATATATTCGTTTAGAATGTGTAATTTTTTCATTTATTTAATGCGATCTACCAATACTACCTTTGCGATCGACTGGTAGATCGCGATCGACGTATTGAGCACCCCTGATCTATGGGGTTTTCAGAGCGCAGTTCTCTGGGTGGGTTCTTCTGATCTCACTCTGCCATCGCTTCAATAAAAATCTCCTCAATTCAGTTTTTTATTGGAGTTTTTAGGAGTTGTTTTTGCCGATGCAGGAGGGTCAGTGATGACATTTAGGAATTTTAATCACCTTTATTAACATTTATGGACATAGGTCACCGTACATATGGACCAATAGCTGTGTTAGTAAGATAGATAGATTCTTTATTGATCCCCTTATGAGAAATTCAGGTGTCCAGTAGCAGCAAAAACACATCCATCCACACAAACAAAACAAATGGATGGATTATTCTGAAAAGCTAACAATAGTAATAATAAGCAAAAGTCCTTCAGGTCACAGCAGCAGAGGTGGAGTAGCCTCTGGGTGGAGCAGGACGGGTCACAAGGTGGAGTAGCCGCCGAAGTTAGCATTCCTCCAGTGGATTTTTGCCTGATCCACTTGGTTCAGACCATGAATCACTGACTTCCTGACGGACAGGAAGCAGCGAGTGCGTCTGGGGAAGAATGTCTCGGACCCTCGGATTATAAATACAGGAGCCCCACAGGGCTGTGTTCTTTCTCCCCTGCTCTTCTCTCTGTACACCAACCACTGCACCTCCAGCCACAACTCTGTGAAGCTGATCAAGTTCGCGGACGACACCACCCTCATTGGACTCATCTCCAACAACGATGAGTCCGCCTACAGGAGGGAGGTGGACCGGCTGGTGTCCTGGTGCAGTGGTAACAACCTGGAGCTGAACGCCCAGAAGACAGTGGAGATGATTGTGGACTTCAGGAAGAGCACTGTCCCCCCGCCCCCACCCTCCGTGATGGACTCCCCCATCACCTCTGTGGAGTCCTTCCGTTTCCTGGGCACCACCATCACCCAGGACCTCAAGTGGGAGCCGACCATCAGCTCCCTCATCAAGAAGGCCCAGCAGAGGATGTACTTCCTGCGGCAGCTCAGGAAAGCCAAGCTGCCTGCACAGATGCTGGTGCAGTTCTACACGGCCATCATCGAGTCCATCCTCACCTCCTCCATCACCTCCTCCATCACCTCCTCCATCACCTCCTCCATCACCGTGTGGTTCGCTGGAGCCACAGTCAGGGACAAACAGAGACTACAGTGCAGTGTGCGCTCTGCAGAGGAAGTGATCGGCCGCAGCCTTCCATCGCTGCAGGACCTGTACGTCGCCCGAGCTCGAGGCCGGGCTGGTCGTATCACAGCCGACCCCTCTCACCTGCACATGGACTATTCCAACCACTCCCCTCAGGCAGGAGGCTGCGGTCCATCAGGACTAGAACCTCCCGCCAGAGGTGTGGACTCGAGTCATGTGACTTGGACTCGAGTCAGACTCGAGTCATGATTTTGATGACTTTAGACTCGACTTGACCAAATATAAAAAGACTTGCAACTCGACTTGGACTTTAACATCAATGACTCTGACTTTCACTTGGACTTGCGCCAATTGACTTGTAAAGACTTGCGTAACCCGGGCCATTTTTACCTTTCTCCGCATCTCTCTTTCTATCTATGCCGTCTCTGAAGAAACAAAGCCTCGCGGTAGTTGTAGCGCTCGCGAGAGAGTTTGAACGTGAGTTCCCCGCAGTTCGCGCAGCAACACTTCCCTAAACAAGCGGACTGCATTCACCGGTGGGTGTGTTTTGTCTAGGGGAGCTGGAAATGAGCGAGCTGCAGGTATTTATCGCGACCTAACGTCATATTTTGTTCTACAAACCGTAATTGATATGCTTTCACTACAGGCGCCTCATACAATTGAATCGACGCAGTTGTCACACTGTGTGCCGTGTTTTAAAGAGGAACTGGTGAGTCAAACTAGCGCTAGCCTGCGCTGCTCTGTTGGCTCTTTCTTATATTTTTCTGTGTGGGCGCCGAGGCCTATTATTATGAGTATGTTTTTGCTGTGCTCCTCCTGCTAAAGTTTGCATACATTAGATAGTTGTTTTGATTATGTGCACTAAGCTAGATTAATATTTGCACTATTGTTTATGGTGCATTGATATGAGAATCAGTGCTTTGACTGATTGAATTAATTTATATGAGACATTTTATTATGTAATGATATATTGGTAATTATTAGTGGGCAAAGCTCCCACTGAAAGATCAAGGCTATGCTCACACTCAGAGCAGCCGTCCTCCTGTGGACTCACCACCTGCAGAGGGTCAGTGAGGGGCTGGTGCTATGAGACTTGGGTGGCATCTCTGATTGCCACCCCCCTGACCCAGAAATGGATTAAAGGGTAGAAGATGGATAGATGGATATTGGTAATTATGAGATATTGCTAATGCTGGTCCAGTTGATGGCGAGCTGCCCCAGGTCCAAAGCCTAGACCCCTCATACTACCCCTATTCTACAGTAGGACATTTGGAACAATAACCACTACGGACATTAAACTGTCATATATAGATACAGGTCCTAGCCCAATACTCATATTCATATATGCTGCACTTGCTACTTCCCATTAAAAACCCCAAAGATAAAAAGTATGTTGACACGGACTGCTCTGATTTTATGTGTGGTCTGTGCATGTGTAACTGAGCCTGCATCTGGCACAACATCCAATTAGATCACGTAGATAGTTTTGATTTATCAGCAGCCAACGACATGGAACAAACTGTTAGTCCATGGGTCAGAGACCAACGAGAATGCACCAGCAAAATGATTCCTAACATTATTTTGTTTGCCTACAAAAGTACGTGGAGACCAACAAGAAACAAATCGCGGTCAAAAAGACTCGAGAGGACTCGAAAGTCAAACCGTAGGACTTGGGACTGACTTGAGATTTGTTGGCCTTTGACTTGGACTCGACTCGGGACTTGCCTGTCTTGACTCGTGACTTGACTCGGGACTTGAGGGCAATGAATTGAGACTGACTTGTGACTTGCTAAACAATGACTTTGTCCCACCTCTGCCTCCCGCCACAAGAACAGTTTCTTCCCCTCTGCTGTTGGACTCTTGAACACTTCTTAACCTGTCCCCCCGCCCTTTATAAAGTCACTTTACTGCCCATCATACGTCACTTTACTTCACTGTACTGCTGTCACCTTACATTGTGTGCACCATGTGCACTTGTATATTGTAAATAGTAACTGTAACTCTATTTTAAATTAAAATTTATTCTTTAGAAGTGTTTTTTATTCTTATTTTTATTATCTCTTTCTGACTGTTGCACTGAGCCAAAGCAATTTCCAAGTCTGTGTCCTCCTGTTACTTACGTGGCAATAAAAATTATTCTGATTCTGATGAATCCTCTCTGCTCTGGTCTGGACCAGTGTAAAACCATGAACACTGTACTGCAGCAACATCTCAGGCAGAAAAAGGCAAGAAAAATAACAATTACAAAGCACAAAACAACAACTGTTTCAGAGACACTTAGGACTCGCCGCCGTTTCCAGTGCATTCAAAAGTAAAATATATTTGTTATCATTGCATTTCCTGTGTTCAAACTTTTTTTTTTCACAAATCAACAACTTTGTTATACAACTGCTTTTTATTGAATATATAGTTCAAAACTGTATCGGCATATGAGGTCCAAACCTGGCCTGGGAATAGCCCTGCTTCTGTGTGAACCTGAATTAAGCGCAACAGCCTGGAAACCCTGGATGAAATGTTGCATGGATTCAGGGACCAATCACAACAAAATTAGGAGAGACAGCACTACTCCACCTCTGCTGCTGTGACCCGTCCTGCTCCACCCAGAGACTACTCCACCTCTGCTGCTGTGACCCGTCCTGCTCCACCCAGAGACTACTCCACCTCTGCTGCTGTGACCCGTCCTGTTCCACCTCTGCTACAGTGACCCGTCCTGCTCCACCCAGAGACCCCTCCACCTCTGCTGCTGTGACCTGAAGGCCTGTGGCTGATTAATACTATTATTAGCTTTTCAGAATCAATTTTATTTTTGCGGCTACTGGACACCTGAATATCTCCTACGGGGATCAATAAAGTATCTATCTATCTATGTATTTGACTTTCAGAAGCTTGGAGTTTGCAAACAGCAAATGTGAAGCTATCTTTCGATCAAGCTTCAAACCTAAATAGTTTATCACAAAAGTATATTATAATTATCCGGCGCCATTGTGTAAAGTTTAGCATAATGTGTCTTTCTTGTATCTTCCCTTCTCATATGCATATAGACATGTTTTTACATACTATATCGGAGCGTCAAATAAACGTGAATGGACAACTGTTACCCACACCTCTTCTACGAGAAAATGACTGGATGGTTTCCTGCACATTCTTCGGTGTAGTCTGGGGTTAGCCGGGCTAGTCCAAAATATGAACCAGAGGGAAAAGTACAGCCCAGCTTCCAAACCAGTTCAGAATTCCAGCATTGGCCACATTACCCTGAGAAGTGCTTACCATAATCACTGACATCCACCCGTAAAACATCTGTATTTGGACTGTATTGTCAATGTTGAAATAGTGAAGACAGGTGTGATAGTTCAGGAACCTCTTTTTTCTCATTGATGAAAAACAGAACTTTGAGCGCCCCTGAGTTACAACATCATAACTGACTTTTCTACTTGGTGCGATCGTCCTTAGGTCACAAAGACCGAGGAGAGGCACATTGACCCCTTCTCTCTCTCTCTCCCGCCCAGTCTCCTTTAACTCTGTCCCGATCAAAGTGGTGGAGCACAAATACTTTATTATTGACAGAAAACTGACCTTTGAGCCTCTAGTGGACACTTTCTGCAACAATAGACCAATCACTGCATGGACTTTTATCAAGGTTGAATGAAACCAAAACCTTGACCACAGTGAAAAACACAAAAAAGCATTACATTTCTACTTGATTTACTGATAAGAATATGATTTCTTTTATCAGTCCTGTCACCTTTACGGAAATTTTAAGAAAGAACCGCCCTCCTCATAGGGACTGACTATAAAACCTCGCATATCCCCAGAATGATTGACACTTAGGACGACCAATAGTCTTAAATGATCCACACAGAAGAAGAAAAACCTCCTATATACCTTTAAGTCAAATAGTTTCAGTTCTATGGTCGCTAAACACGTGGGAGCAATAGCGTTTATGCAAAATGTTACTCGCTGACAACACAGGATACAAAAACTGCTTTGAAGAGCAGGTGCACGCAACACAAAACACACACATAGGAACCCAGGCCCCCTCTGATCCTACACCTCACTCCCACTACTTCCTTCGTGCACATACTTCTTCTAAAAGTACTCAACTACTTTCCACCTCTGTCAGAATGCAGGAGAATGACCTGTGTCTGGTCGTTGGCTCGGTGAAAGAATCGATCCGACTAAAATGAAGATGAGATTGTTTTGAGAATGTGCCTAAATGGGACCAACAACTTCCTCTTCAGGGGTTGTTCTAATCCTGGTATGTCCAAACTTAGGCCCACGGACCAATTGCGTCCCTCTCTGTCATGTCATTGGGTCCTGTGCCGTGCTAAGCTAAAGTAGTCATCAACACAAGTTCACCGTGTCATCCAGCCAACTTCAGCTCAGCCAAGATAGACCTCGAAAGACTCAGGAGCTCTAGAATTCAGGTTAATTTGGCACTGACATTTGTTTTTGATTGTAGGGTGTTATAGGGTAGCTGGTGAGATGGTAACATTTTCAGCCAACCTCTGCTCTGTTATACCTCATTTTAAAACTCAGAATAACCTCAATCCCATCTGGTGAACTAAAGTGGCTCTGCTTCTAAAATGTTTGGACACTCTTTTTCTAATTCCTGATAAATCAAAGGAGAATACATGATTGAAAAGGTTTTAAAAGTTGTTGTCTGGATGTATTATTGTTATCAAGGCATTTCAATCTTCTGGGCACCCTGGAAAAGCCATGTTCCAGCTTCTTCCCTCTGCAGGAAGATATCATTGCAGGACATTTGAACAGAGCACTTGTGAGATCTTGCCTTTGTTTTGAAACGGTCGATGGATTTCCCAGTGTCAATTGTTTACTGTTTTGTTGTTTTATTTCTGTACTTGTCTGCTGCACACGAGCGACTTTTGCAAATCTATTCCAATGTGGTTTTATGAATATGAATCTGATCTGGATGGGGTGCCAGAGGATGGGATTGTTACCCACATTGGTGCTTAAAGATTCTAGAATTCGCCAGACTGTGTTAAGCAGTAGTTTCTGATCTTCTTAAACTGTAAAAAGGGCATCTTCTTGTATTGGCATTTTTGTTATTACTCAATTCCATTTCCTTGATTGTGCAGGTGAGTTTTTCGTTTCACCGTAACAACCGTCGCACCAGACAAGTTTGTCCTTTCCACTTTGTTTATCTTCTCTGCTGCGCTCTGCTAAATTGTTAAAAGGCGTATAATAATAAGGTCCTAATAATAGCCTCACTTAAGCTGTTTACCTGGATCGAGAGTGCCCCGTACGCCTCCTCTCCTCACTCCGTACCGCTCAAACCGGATTAGACCAGCTCGTGGAATAAATCTTTAGGCAAACATGAATGCGTTTTTTAAAAAGTGTTGATTCTCCGTGATCCTCTGAGCTCCGCGGCTTTTCCGAAGTGGACGAAACGGGGGGAGAGTGGGAGGCCGGGCGTCCACACATCTAGTGATTTCTCCCGGGATCAGAGCTGTTTGCACTTTAATGAACGGAAAGAACAGGCAATACAGGCCACAACAAACGGCTGTGAACAAAGATATATGTGGGATAAATAACACAGCCTCAGGTGTAACCGCCGGAGTCACGTGCACGGCCACTTTAGCCCTTTAATGGTTTCTTCCATTTGGTAGATCACCTTTTGATTCGCTATGTCTACTTTAAGCTTGGAACTGAAATATTAAAAGGTTTTGATGGTAAAAGTGAAAGTGAAAGTGACCATCCAACTCCAACCATTTGGTAAAAACCTATAATAAAAAATAATATAAAAAATAATGGGTGTTATTAGTGCTGCTACATCTTAGAAAATCCCAAAAAGTTAAAAATACATAACTTTCTTCAAAGAGGGAACATTAAAGGATTAAGGCACACATAGAAGTACACATCTGTAAATACTTCTGAACCAAGTGCAATTTTAGCTCCAGAGTATTTTTCTATTTAATTCTATTTTACCATCTTAATGATTTCAGCTTTAATGTCTATCTTAAATAATAGACTGTTTTGTTTATAGACACTGAAATTTCCCTACTGTGGGACAAATAATTATCGTATCGAGTCAAATGATGGACTATATCGGAATATCTGGACTAGTAAAACACACACACACACACACACACCCACACACACACACACACACACACACACACACACACACACACACACACACACACACACACACACACACACACACACACACACACACACACACACACACACACACACACACACACACACACACACACACACACACACACACACACACACACACACACACACACACACACACACACACACACACACACACACACACACACACACACACACACACACTGTTACTGTTGGTTATGTAGGATACTAATGCTTGTGCTGTTGTTTTTCTCACAGAGACAAGGATCCGGAGCAGCTCCTGGCAACAACAAGACGTCTGAAGCACAAGGTACAGTCATAATATGAATAATAATAATTCCCACAAAACTACAAAGCGGGGTTTAAAGCAATTATATGATTCCGTTTAAATGCCGATGATGGCAGAGCTCACCCACACTGTGCCCTGTAGCTTCAAGAATTTATTTACCATTTGCAGTAAAACCACATTGGAAAAACTGTGCAAGGCTACCACTGTGTGCACCAACGGCACACACCGGAGCTCTTGCCACGGCGCCATTTTTCCGGCTCAAGCCTCTGTTTGGGATGCCTCCTGGGTGCAGGTACTCATAGCGTTCCCCACCGGGACAAAACCCAAAAAAACAAGTATCCCTCCACCTGGTCTAATTTGGTCCCTGAGGGTGATCTGAGATTTATCTATTTTGATTGGATTTCCCACTGAAACAACTAAAAGGCAGTTCAAACAAGTCTAGTCTAGCTCAGTAGCTCATTAAATAAGGCTGTTGTAATCATTAGTATCTGTGCAAACTAACTTTTCACACAAAAACACACTTTTTTACGGTACATTACAATAAGTTTTGTGTGAAAAAGCAACATTGTCATTACATAACACATGCCAATAATAACCTCTGACGGACAGCTGCCGCCGGCCGCTACAATGCGAGCAGAAAAGGACCAGCGGGCGACCTGTCAACATAATCGAAAGCGTCAGGAAGGACAAGAGGCGACATTTGATTATGACATGTCGGGTTTGTAGACTTTGGTGGTATTCGGTGGAGGTCTGCTTAAACGGAAAGTGCTGATTGGTTTGGGGAGCAGCTCTATTGCGTTTGGAGTGAGTGGGTGATGTACTGCAGAGTCTTCTCATAAATCACATAGAGAGGTGGGATTGTGCTCTGATCTAATGTCCTGACTCAGAGGCCCGAGTGATCTCACATTTATCCAGCGTAATGACTGCTCTTGCGCCGGCCCCAGGGAAATAAGACTTTGACTAACCCAAGCCAGCAACTTACCCTCGTGGCTACAGAAATCCACTGTTTTGAGCTTGTGAATGTGATACAACGTGGTTCCTCATAAAAAAATCAGACCTGGAGTTGTTTTTAGACCTATCCACACTAATATTATGTAACTCCGCCCCTTCTGTCTGCCAGCTTCTGTCTCAGTTCTTTAATCAATAATATATTTACAGTATATAGCAGAAGACAAGACAAGGCAAAGCAGATCAAAACACAGATCAGTATGTATAAAAACCAAAAAGGCAATGAAATATCAGCCATCATTTCATATCAAGAAGGTCCTTTATTCGTCCCACAAGGGGGACGTTTCAGTTTGATGCATACACATACACATATACTGTACATACGTATACATACACATACACATATACACATACAGTACATATACATACACATATATATACACATACACATATATATACACATACACATATAGTACATATACATACACATATATATACACATACACATCAAGGCAAGCAGCGAACATCACTTCTGCGCTCCTCTTAGGCCAAGTGGGGTT